GGAAGCAGAAAGATTGAGATAGAGCTAGAGAATGTTTTTCCGAGGGCAGAGGCAATATATGTGCCTAAATGTTGTACATCAGTGACCTACTTCCTGCAGTCATGGCTGAATGGAGGAACAGCTATGATGTCCCATTACATCCCTTATGATCCAATCACCTTTCCATAAAACTGTTTCTGAATCCTAATGTCCACAGTCCACATATTCAACACATGAGACTCTGGGATTCCACTTTATAACCATAAACTAAGGTCCATGACTTACTAGCCAACAAAACAGTGAAAGTGATGAAAGGGAACTTATTTGCCTTGCTATACATGGACCACCGTCTCAAATGTTCCGTACTTCAGTCTCAGATTTTAGTTAGGGTTAGATGCCGAGGGTTGGAGTCCCTGAGTTCTATTCTACCTCGTACCTAAAAGTTCACAAATCTCTGTTTCTGGATCTCCCTATGTAAATCCTATGTGGTTTATTTGCATAGTATAGATGTAAGAACTAGATTCATTTTTAGTTTTTAAAGAGTTCTCCATATTGTTTTCCATAGGGATTGCCTGAGTGTGGAATCCCACCAGCAGTGAATGGGCGTTCCCCTTTCTCAACATCCTCACCAGCATTTGGTATCATTTGTTGTCTTGATCCTAGCCAGTCGGATTGGGGTAAGGTGATACCTTAGATCTGTTTCAAATTTTACAGGAATTTCAATACAATGCAGACAATAAACCCCAAATTTCACTGTTAGCTTCTACTAGTGATACAAGTATGAAGCAATTCTTTCTTTTTTCAAAACTTGTTATTTTCTTTGAGGAATACACTTCTAGCCTGCTTCAAAGTCTGGATATTCTTCTGTGTTCTCTCAGATCTAAATTGTATTAAAATATGTTAATTCTTCAGAGAGGGCCAAAAAAAGTAGAATGTTCCCCTCTGTAGAGGAACTCATTCATGAACCCTTACAATCTATCTGTTGATTCAGAATTTCATACAGAGCTGGAGAGATGGCACAATGGTCAAGAGAACTGACTCTTCTCACAGAAGACCTGGGTTTGGTTCCCAGCACCCACATGACAGCTAACAACCATCAGTAACTGCTATTCAGGTGACCCAACGCCATGTTCAGGATTCTGTAGTCATTGTATTCATACAGTACAATTACCGTTTTGCCAACAAAACATGTATATACATAAAATAAAAAGAGATAAAAAGAATTTCCTATGATACATTCTGATCCAAACTAGCTTCGCTCTCCCTTTCTACAAACTCCTTTGTCCCTTCCCTTCCAACTTCATTTCTTCTATTATTACTTGTCTTCTTTTAGAAGCCTATTCTGTCCAATCTAAACTTCCTCAATGCTTTTGGGTTTAGGTCTATCCCCTTACATCTGGTGAACCTACCAGGCACATACCCTTAAGGAAAACTCCCTCTCCCAACACGTACCAGTTTCCAGCAGAGCCTCAGGTAGGGCTGAAGGAGTCCTCACCCACTGCCATCCATCCCGGGCCCCTGACTGGATTGGTTTTGCCCAGGTCTTGAGCAGGTAGTCAGTCATAAGTGCTGTCGGCTCACGTGTGCAACTACCCTGTGGCGTCCAGACCACAGTTTCCCTGTACTGTTCTACCACCTCTTGCTCTTACAATCTTACTGCCACCTCTTCTACAATGATGCTGAGCCTTCATTAGAATTGTTTTTGGATTTCTGTATCTTGGATTTCTTCTAATTTACTCTCTTATTGGACATCACAATGGAGTAGGGATTTGTTGTGGGGGGAGGAGGGAGAATATTGTCTTGTGCATTCATTTTTTTGTGTATTTGGTATGAGTACTAGGCATCTGTGTTTAGGCTCTTCATGGTGTTTTGGTATGAGCTTTTAGCCTAGGAGGAAGGAATCCCAGGCATTGATATCAAGCCAGATAAATGGAGGTATCTTAATTAACACCTAACAAATGTCATATTAAAATGTAAAACCTGAAGAAATATCACAAGATCGTTTCAAGATTGAAACTTAACATGTAAAAGGAATAATTATAAAGTGACTGATCCTTAAATGTTGTTGCCTATGAAATTTCAAGAATCTAAATAGACAATTTCAACAGAAGCCCATCCAGATCTCAGAAGAGACACCTTTAAAGTCAGTTAAAGTTTGACACCATATGCTTGAGTTTAAAAAATGTTTTTATTCTATTATATTTGAAATTCTAATGCACAACCTAAAGGTTCTCTCTAATTTGTGGATCCTAGCTCCAAGTCCTGGACCTGTAGTCACAGGAAATGAATTCAACATGGGCTAGAGATATAGGCACCTGCTAATTATGGTAACACTTTTTGAGTAATAGAGAATCAACTTAAAAGTCCATGAACAAATGAAACAGTTACTGGAATGTGATATTTCTAAAGAATAAAATACAATTGCATGATCGAAAAGAATGAATGTTTTTGCACTTGTAAAGGTGATTTTTGTGATGTTCACTTTAGTATGGAAAGGAAGTTGAAACATCAGCACTACATGATCTCAGTCATAAGAAACATATGAAAATAGATAGATGATAGGCCTTGAAGGTACAGTAGTGGTTACCATTGAATGATGAGGAAATGGGAGCAAGTACCAGACACTGTGTCATTGCCTCATGGCTGAACTAAGTTCTACTCTTCTATCCAAGGACAAGGTGAATAAATTCTACCACTTGTATTTTGTATCTTAAAATTTTAGAAAAGATGAACTTGGATACACTAATCACACAAAAGG